TGCACTTATATAACGTTGTAAACATCTTGAGTATCTTCGAATTCGAATTAAAGGAACTGAGTTAAGAGCTGTTGGAACAATATTTTTTAAAGATTTAAAACTATAATCACAATTGGCACGTGTATAAGCTTTTACTGCACCCCAATAATTTTCAATATAATTTAATTTACAGTGAAATTTTGGATAAAAGATAATTTTATGACTTGCTTCTTCAACAATTTCTTCAGAAGAGATTTTTGGCTAGCAAAATCCGGTTCTAAGTTTAAAATTCATATAGCACAACAGTTATTTTCTTGAGAAGCTTTTTCTTTACATTGTAAGCAAATCTTTTTTAAATTTGGATAAGCTAAACCTCTTTCTTCAAAAACTTGATACATTCCTTTTGGGTACCATCAGGATAATTCATTTCTTGAAAAGTGCTATCACGCATATAAGTATTTCTCATTTAAGGTTGTTTACCACCAGATTTAAAATTCATTCGTGAAACTACCAAGGCATCCTCAGCAAATGCATTATGATTACTGCTATTATCAAAAGCGAAAATAGCTATACAACCAGGATGCATTGCTTCAAATATTGGAATTGCTTTATTTTTTAATTGCTGTGTGATATCTTTAACTGTCCAATAACCATCATGATTAGTACCAGGCTGAATAATGCATTAGAAATTTGTATTTCACCTAGAAGACTATTATTTTGTTGTTTATAAATATCATCTAGTTGAAGTCGACCAATTGTATCACAAAGAAACTCACTAACCATTAAAGAACTACCAGATGATTTTGGACATAATAGTTGCTCATCAATAGGTGCCCAAAATACTTTTTGATCATCATTTGCATAAAACGCTGACTTATCATGTGTTACTAATATATGCAATCTTTCTCTATTAGAAAGAATAGGGTTGATTTGTTAAGTTAAATCATCAGACCAATCTGGTATTAATAATTCATACTGGGCCATACGTTCTAAAAAGCTATGATGATACTCTACAACATCTGGTCATTCATGACCATCAACATATATCTTTTTTATATAATTTATACTTCCATCCTAATTGATTTGGCTATCTTCGTGCAGTTTTAGAACTAATAGTCTTTCCTGACTCAATTCCAATACTTGGAAATATTTCATCATGGATGTAATCACAAAGCTTAAAGATATTTAATTTAAATTTATGAAAATTTAAATATTGAAGAAGCTTATTTTGAATATCTTCATCAAGTAAGAGTGAATAAATTTTTTGATGTTTTCCCTGTCTTGAAATTTGAATTGTGCCAGTTTTTTTGTATTGATTACCCCAAGATCGTATTAAGCGTGCAGTCCAAGGTCCACGGTTTAGTGAAGTTGAAATTGTGTTACTTGCTTGTATTTTAGAAACTCCTGATTCTACAAGTCGAAGATATTGCATAGTATATTGAAACTGAATATCCTGTACCCCATTTCTAATTTTTTGCTCCAAATCTAATAAGGAAAATTCGGCATTTTCTTCTTTAGAAGAATCTTTATAATATATAATTATATAATTAATAAATAATAAATAATAACAATAAAAATAGTTTAATTAAAAAATTATTACTAGTATTTAGATTAGACAATTCATTAATATCACTTTCATTAGATACTTCATCACTTTCATTAAATACTTCGTTACTTTTATTATTATTATTAACACTAAAATAATTGGTAATTTTTTGGGATCCTTGTGCAGCTAATCTCAAATTTCGTCTTTTATTTCGCATAGTAGATTTAGCATTTCCAATATAAAATCCATTTCGAGAAGTTTTTTTAAATGCATTTGGTTTATGAGCAGCATCAAGCATTAAAGTATATGCATTTGCTGGTAATTCAGGTTCAAATAATTCATCTACCCAATCGTTTTCATCACTAGAAGATTCATTACTTGAAAATTCGATATCTGTAAATTCATTATCTGAAGATTCAATATCTGAAGATTCAATATCTAAAGATTCAATATTAGAAGATTCAATGCTTGATGATTCATCATTCGAAAATTCATCAGCAAGCAATTTATTATCTATATTGAATATATAGAAGTTAGTCTTAATAATTATAAGTATATTATTTAAATATATACGTATAATAGTTACTGGTTTTAAATGTACCTTTCGCTTTTTGTGCTTTTTTATTTCTAGCACTTTTTAAAAATCTAGCTCGCTTAGACTGTTTCATTTATTTTTTAGTTAATATTTGGCTTTTAAATTGTTAAATATGAACACTTTAAAATATAAGTTTATAAAGTTTCTAATTAATGTTTATAAGTAAAATTTGATCGAAGAAAGGCAAGTTGCTTTTAATTTATAAAATGCTCTTTTTTATTTTTAATTATACGTATTTTATAAAGGGTTTATCTTATCTAATCTAACTCTGTTTTTTTTTCTAAATCATTATTTCATTATTATTGCATTTTTATGTAAAACTAGCAAAGCGTTTTTCAAGACTTTGCCTATTCTTTATATATTACTTCCCACCTGTTTTATTTTATGCACTTAATTAGTTTACTTATTAGATTAGATATGTAATAGATATTTATGAGCTTTTATAAATATAATGTCAGAGCCATGCCATGCCAATACATTGTTTTCATAACGATAATACATGTAAAATATCTTTTATATTCTAAGTTCCTATGCTTATAATATTAATTTTACTGATTACATCATAATGTAATCATAAAAATATTATTAGAAATGTTTATGAGAAAATATTAAGAACCGTGAGATATAATAACACATTATTTAAGGCTACAGGAATAAAGTATGTATTAGTATTAGTTCTAAATTTAGGTTTTCACAGAAAAGTATCATTTCTTAACGTTAATTCTGACTTATTTTTAGCTTAAAAGAAACCAGAATTCTAAATTTGTCTATCATACTTAATTTAGCAATTCTTTTGATATCAATATCACTATAACCGCTATATTTGATATCGGGTATAAAACTAAATACAGCATAACTATATTTAACAGGTTTTTGTCTCAATTACAGAATTAAAGTGAATGACGATCAATGCTTTTTTTTTATTATTGTCCTTCGGAATAGAACTAACCAAATATAGATTTACTGTACTGTCAACTGTCTTCAGAGCCGTTAACGGCTTATTCTGAAGCCAGTTTTGGCTGCACAATGGAGCCAAGCAACGTAATCTATGATTAAGCATTGAATCGCTTTTTAAAGTCAGCTCCAGATTAAACCATTATTATTGAAGCTATGACTTATTGTTATGGCTAGAGCATGGCTCAAGTTGTGGTAAATAATATCGATAAGCTTTGCATTAAAATTTTATTATGTTGCTACAGTATATGTAATGATTTTAAAGCAATATAGTATTTAAAGAAGAAGCTATACAAACGTTATGATAACAGCTTTAAAAATCTATAATGGGTTGAAATTGGTTACAAAATTCTTTGTGATTTAATGTCAGGTTTTCACATGATATTTCAATTAAGTATTTTTCTCATTTAGTCAATTGAACATTATCAATCAATATACGTATTAATTAATTCCTTGTTTCTATTTTTATTCATATGATTTAAGGTTCTCTCAAGCACATAAATTATAGGTCGAAACCCAGTAAGTAGGCTCATATTGATATATCAGGAGTCATACTATAAATATGATTAATTTTTGAATAATTTGGATTATTAGAGTTACAGATTTTATGCTAATTAGCATTAGACTTTTGCTAATTGGTAAAAAATTTAAGATATCTTTTTCATATACTTAATACAATAAATTTTGAAATTTAAATTTTGAGTCCCATAACTACAATGCAAGTAACAATCTAAATTAAAATAGCAGAGACAGTGCCTGATCCAAAGTGAATCCCTCTCACCTGTGATCAATCACAAATTAAATTATTTATGTTAGATTCAATTGTGATCGATATAATTCCTCATCAGTTTAATATACATGTAATATTAATAGTCTTTGCTGTTTTTTTTCTAAATTATGCTTTTTGGTGCTTGAATCTATTCAAAAAATCTAGTGAATTTTCTATTGATATCTATTTATATTGGATAACAAAAATATATTTTGCAGATAGTTGGATATCTGTTAAACTATCCAATACTTTGATTAATAATAACAATACATTAATTAGAAAATTTTTTATTGAATATCCATCAAGCATATTGTTAAATCTCTCTTTCTTTCTCAAAATTCAGCATTAATTATTAAAATTTCAGCACTACTATATATATTTATATATATATTTCAAAATTCAGCGCTTTGATATAACTAGATGTCCTGCACCTAGTGATTTGAATCGGTTGGCCTATAATCGGTTAATTGACCTGAACTGAATAATTTTGGTTAACCGATTGAGAAAATTCTTAATTGGTTGACTCGATACATCTGGTTGAAATTTTGTAATTGGTTAAAGAGAGAGTAAATGTTTCAAAAAGTTCTGAAAAGTTCTGAAAAGAGAATGAATGGACATAAAAGATGAGCAATTTCTGAAGATAAAATGAAAAGTAGAGATAGGCAATCTTAGCCAGTTAACAACTGGTTGAATAAAATAATTCGGTTCGGTTAACCAATTAAAGAAATTTTTCTCAGTTCAAATCACTACCTGCACTATATAGTAGTAATCTCTTTTAGTGATAGAGTAGTGAGTGCCGCTTAGTACCAGTCTTGTTAGATGTGAAGCCTGAGACTGTATTCTGCTTGCTACTCTGCATTAAGCAATGTTTTGTTGATTGAACAGGTGGTAGTTTAGTTGTTAAAGTGTTGTAGTATGTGTAATTTAATAGAAGTGGGATTAGTGATAATATCCTGGTTAAGTTTGATATTATTGAACTTTACTGGATCTTTGTATCGATTCAAAATGCTATTAAGCATAGAAGTTGGGTTGGTTTAAAGCTTGGTACATCTTTTTGAAATTGTCTTAATAATTTGATATTATGTTTGTCTAATGTTTTCAGGTTGTAAGAGTGGTATAGTTTTTTTTTATTTTGCATTGGCTTTGGTTATCTAGTCAGTATTTGTTAAGATTGGGGTATTTCTAAGTCATATATCCTGTTAAGTTCAGTTATTGTAGTATTTAAGTAGGTTGTGATTTGTTAGCTAGACTTAATTTGTTGTTTAACTCTTCTAATTAAGTTTTTGAGCTTTTTGAGACTGTAATAGAGTTGGGTGGCTTTAGGTAAGAATGTGTAATCGAAGTTATAGACTGCAAACTTTTTGTTGGAGATGTGTTGGATGATAAGGCTAGTTTGGATTTTGTGCTATGTAGTTTCCAAGAACTCTGGAGTTGTATGTATAAAAGCTGTGCTGTGTTGCTTCAAGTTTGTACTGACTTGGTTTGTAAAGTTTTTCTATTTTTTAGAGTTCATTGCTTTGTAGTCAAAAACTCTTCTTTGAGTGCAAGTTTTGTATCTACACTATCTAGTTAGTGCATAGAGAAATAGCCATTAAGAAATAAGAATTTTGTGATCACTTTGGGTGCTAGTGTTAGAGTTATTTGTGTTGTAGTCAGTGAGATATTTTAAGGATTGGTTGGTATACCCAGATAAAGTTGATTTCACTGCTGAGATTAACTATATACCATGTAGATGCTAATTTATAAAAGTATGAGGCTAGATTATACATATTGTTAAATGTTAGATATTGAAGGAGTTTGAATTTGATCAATTGGAAGTGAATATTCTCTGTATATGCATTGAAGTCTCCTAAAGTTATTGGAGTAATATTTAGTGCTTTGGCTTGTTGTAGCCACTAAATAATAGTGTTCTGGGTTTGTAGTCTGAGGTATGCATTATTGCAAGGGAGGTAGAGTAAAATAATCCAGAACTTGAAGTTGTGTTTGAAGAATAAGTTGATGGCTATTATATATCTAGGCACTGTACTAATGTTATAGATATATTAAATAAGAGAGTTGCAGACTATGATGGTAATTCCTGCTTTAGAGCTATCTGTGCATAATCAAAAATAGATATAGTGTTGAGTTCTAAGCTGCTTTTGGTTGGTTGTTTTGCTAGACAACTTGGTTTCTGTAATACAAATAATATTTAGCCAGTAATATTTTCATGTTTCTTTTTTAGTATTCATATTAAGGCTTTGTACATTGTATATGCAGATAGAAAGAGTTAGTAGGTGAAGAGATGGTAGCTAAGAAATATCAAGTTAGGAGATACTGGAATTGAGTTGAGAGGTTTGGAAAATTAGTATATTGTAAAGACTACTTATTAGCATGTTTATTGATATCTATTGGTATTGGGTTGTTTAATGGAGAAGTGTTGTTGTTGGTGAGTAGAATGTTCTCTGTTGTAGCTATTGCTGCTATAGTGGTTGGTGTTATATTAAGTATTGTGGTATATGTAGTATCCTCTAGGGCTGGAGTGGTGCTGATAAAGGATTGGACCATACTGGAAGTAATTAGGTGTGAGAGTGTGGAGGCACTATTGAATATGCTCTAGTCAGGAGTAGGAAGTAGAAAAAGGTTGAGCAGGAAGTCAGGTATCTTTCTAAGTGTGTAAAATTGTCTAAGGGCTTGCATGGTTGAAGTAATGTCCACCTAATTTTGAATTGGGTGTGAAATAATCACTTTTTGTTTAGATAAAGTCTAAATAATTTTCTCTATATTCTCTGAGATATTGGAAAGGTTTTGTTTGTAGGTTGTGTCTGCATTTTTGGTGTTGTTAACAGGTTTGTTGTTGATTTGAATAGTCTGAAGAAAGCTGGCTCAAGTAGTAATACTTATAGAGAAGTTTAACTGTAGCAATAAATTGCTATATAGTAGTAATAGGGAGAGAAATATCCAGATATTCAGTGATTTTCTCTGCAGTTGGCATAGTAGGTTTGTTGGTTGGGTTGGCCTATATAATTTTTACTAGAATAGAAAATGAGACTCAATAGTAAGGTGAAACTTGTTTAATAAACTCTCTGGCCTTAGTATTATTGTAGGTAAATGAGGTAGTGCATTGATTTTACTTGTATCTTTTGGAAGAATTGGTTTAGTAGTGAAGAAATCATTTGGAAGGAGTTTGAAGATTTAGTGTTCTTTGAGCTAAGTAACAACTTTAGTGAGTAGAAGGGTGGAAGTAGCTTGATCATATGGAAAAAATTTGCAAACTTTGTGATTAAGCTCCTGGTAGGTAGTAGTTTTTTAGAAGATAGTAAGTTGAAATATAAGTCAGGAATTTTAGTAACAGTATAAAAGTTTGTGAGTTT